GCTAGGGTCTGGAACCAACTTCCAAGGGAGGTGGTGCAGGCTCCTACCCTGGGGGTTTTTAAGAGGAGGTTAGATGAACACCTTGCTGGGGTTGTTTGATCCCAGTACTCTTTCCTGCCATGGCAGGGGGTCGGACTAGATGATCTGCTAAGGTCCCTTCTGACTTTAGAAACTATGAAACATTCCCTCTTAGTCTTCTCTTCTCTAGACTAAATAAGCCCAGTTCCCTCAGTCTTTCCTCATAAGTCATGTCCCCCAGCCCCCTAACCATTTTTGTTGCCCCCTGACAGACCCTCTCCAATTTGTCCACATCCATTGAACAAAACCGGCTGCAGGACTGATTCATGGGGCACTCCACTTGATACTGGCTGCCAAGCAGACATTGATTACTACTCTCTGAGTCCGATGCTCCAGCAAGTTTTCTATCCACTTTACAGTCCATTCATCCAGCCCATACTTACTGTGTTTGCCTGCAAGGATGCTGTTGGAGACCACATCAAAAGCCTTGCTATAGTGATTGTTCATCTGTATGCTCTTACCTTTCAGTAGGTGAAAGTGAAATAAAGTGAAACAGCTACTGCTTAGTCCTCAATGAAAGAGAGGTAAAATTACTGCAGCTTAGTTTTCACTCCTTGCAGGGTAAGAGCATGCTCATGGACAATTACTTTAGAGCCACTGACACTTGCTAAAGCCTGGCCACTCTGTACTCCCAGAAACATTTTTGTATGTCTATACCCAGATTCTGGCTCTGGGCGAGTCCAGCTGGCACCTGGCCCCATCCTAGCCGGGAAACCCCCTTCCTGAAATCCTGGTTCCTGTCCAAGCAAAACTACTCAGACCTGGCATCAGAGAGTAGGTGACTTACATCCCCCAGGGATCTCACACAAACCATTTACCAAACAGAGGAAAAGTTTGTGGTGTAGTCTAAACACGGCTGCTCCCTTACAAAAATCACTTTGTTAACATCAAGAGAGAGAGAAATTCCATCTACATTCAGTTTGACAGATATTATAGCTCTTTTAGCTAGGGAAAGCAGGCTAATGTTTCTATGATGCCTTCCCAAGGTTCCTGCAGGGCCTCACACTTTTCAGAGGCTTTGGTTTAGAAGATTATTATACTCCTGGGATACTAATATGATGCAACAAACCTTAGAAAAGCTCCTTCTGAAGCTGCACAGTACGTTTTTCACTCAAGTTTCTAATGTTAAAGATAACTTGCCTGGTGACAGTGGTCTCAATTTGTAGAGTGAGCTTCAAGATCTAATACTTGAACTATTTTATAATCACATACTGCAAGGTAAGATGGTGCCTCTAGTATTCCAAGTATTGACTGAATTCCACCTTTAACGCAGAAGTCATTTTCGTCATCCTTGATATTCTGAAGTCCTCAGAGACTTCATTAAAAACAGACAAGGCCCTTTGGCAATCCATCAGACCTTTTGTTTGGTTTGTCACCTTGGGTCATCCTCAAATAACTGTCTGATTGCCCTTTATATTACTATACCATGGTTATCCTTAAGCTAGGAAAGTACATAAAGGTTCTCCTGATCAGTCCACCTTCAGGAGACCTTTTGTTACAGATGCTTACAGTGCAAACAAGTAGTTCTTACCTCTCCTCTTATTGGCACAAAGTTCTGTTCCTAGAATTCTGTCTCTAGGGAGGAATCCCCTTCTAATGTTCATTTTACTGAATTTATTTCTGAAATGATGGAACCCAATTTCATCCCTGCACATGAAGCTTCTGTCTTCTAGGGTATTCCTTTAAGGGGAATTTAAAGGGAATTCTTAAACACAGACACTACATTCAGTAATTTTCAGCATTAGACATACTTGATAGTAATTTTCCAAATCAAAGGAAATGATTCTCTTGCTATATTCAAGACTGCTGAGCCTAACCTAGAGCATAGTCTCCAACTTGGGGTACCAAACTTCAAGAAAGATGTGGACAAATTAGAAAACAGTTCAGCACAGAGCAACAAAAATTCATAGTGGTCTGGGAAGCATTACTTATAATGAAAGGTGGAAAGAATTAGGATTATTTAGTCTGGAGAAGAGAAGATTGAGGGAGGATTTGATAATAGCCTTCAAATACCTGAAGGGTGGTTATAAGGAAGATGGACCTAGGCTATTCTCTGTGACTGCAGGGGAGAGAACAAGGAACAATGGTCATAAAATGCAGGAAGGGAAACAGAGGTTGGACACTAGAAAGAACTTCCTCCCTACGATGAAGGTTGAACATCTGAACAGACTATACAGAGATATTGTGGAATCTCTATCTTTGGATGCAGATTAGACATGCATTCAACTGGAAAGGTTCAGTCACAGACAATCCAGCCTTGAGCAGGGAGCTGGACAACATGACCTTCTGAGGTCCTTCCCAAACCTACTTTTCTAAGACTGTATGAAGAGTACTGTTCAAATGTGATTCCTTTCTCTCTACCAGCTACTAGACATATAATGTTTATGCATTTATTTATTTATTAAATTTATATGCCACTCTCCCCAAGGCAGCTCAGGGTGGTTTACAATTACTTAATTTAGTCATGCAGCATAAATGCATTTCTAATTTAGCATAAGAACATGGTGAAAAAGTCCCATCTCAAATGAGCAGTGTACCAGCAGGAATGATCGTAATCCTCTGGAATCTAGCAGCTGTGAAGAGCAAGTAAAAATATGAGAGTTCTGTTAGCTGAATCACTGTTTAAATTCTTTAAACTTCTTTGTATTTTAGATCGACTGCTTAAGGCATCCAAATTATCTGAAACAACGAGGCTACCAAAGGAATAGTATTATTTAACCAGGCCATATTTATCTCAGATAAAATCTCTGAGATAAATAAATAAAATAAGTTGAATTACAGGCACTAAAATCTGTTATTTAAAAATATATCGGACATACAAGTGAAGTAATTTTTATTGCCACATGGGCAATAGACTAACCTGACAATAAAGGAGGTTTGGAGAAGGTGGCACTAGTTTCAAAGCCTGGCCAGTGGTCTAGCAAAGGGCACTAGATAGAGGATCTGTACCCTTAGAATGTGCTTATGGCCTCAAAGCCCAAGACTTGTAGACTTAGCAAGCCAAGAATCTATAGAGTTAACATGGAAAAACCTCAAAACTGCACATTTTAAAATGCATGAATAAAGGACTGCCTGATACAATCTCTCTTTCTTACCAAATTCACTCAAATAATCCATACTCAGGAGATTCTGCCTGAGTAATGTAAATTAAACTATCTGCAGCATTAGGCCCATACTGAACACCTACATCAATAAACTAATTATCATCAGATTGTGGCCACAGTCACTTTATGTAGGTTTGTAATATTAATTTTTATTTTACTGAAACAAATGTAAAAATTACTGTACTTCTGTTTAAACAAATTCTAGTATAATAAAAGCCTTAGTCTGTCTGTCTGTGTAATGGTCTGGGCCAACTGCACATGCGTTGCCGAGAGGGTGCACATTGACTAGCTGCAAGGGCCCGGCGCGTTACAGACAGAGGGGGCAAGGGAGCATGGGAGTGGTCGTGCCACCCCCCTACCCCCATCAGCTGGTAGGGTGGAGAAGACAGGATGAAAGGAGGGAGGAGTGCAGGAAGAGGAAGTGGGGTTTCTGGTGGCAGCACTCCTCTGCCGCACCCCCTGCTTCTACTGCTCCCATGGCCCTGACAACAACTGGCAGAGAGAGGGAGGAGAGGGGGAGGGGAGGCATGCTGCCTGCCATTGGGTATCAGGTGGCCACTGCCGCATGCCACTGCCTCCCTGCCTCCCCCCCACCTGTTCCTGGGACCCAGCAGCAGTGTGGGGTTGAGCGGCAGGGAGCACACGGGGCCGGACGGGGGTGGGGGGCAGCCCATGGGGCCAGAGACTGAGTGGTGGCACTGTGGGGTGCTGGGTGGCGGCATTCCATCCCCACCCCCCCAGTATGAAATAAAAGCAGCGTGATTTTTAAGCCTGATACAAAAATATTCTCAATCAGTAAATTTTGATCTCTATGTAGAAGCAGACAAAAGGAAAGATTCCAAAGGGAAAAAATGATAAAAACGAGTAGAAGTTACTTAACTTTTCCATTTTCTAAGCAGTGTCATACCATCTATAGAGATTTACAAATGTTACCTTAGGGTTCATGAATTAAAATGTAAACAATTTTTATTTAAATCATTTTTCTGAGTTAAGGAAAAATTAATTATTTTAAAATGTGAAAAGCTTATGCTTAAGAAACAAACCTTGTCCATTAGTTTACTTGCATGAAGGCTCAGACTGTTGAAGAATATCTTTTTGCTTAATAAATGCATTTCTTCAACTGTTGTTAACAGTGTAGCTGCACTGCTTCCTACAATACCACTGAAAACCAAAAGAGAATTATTTAGTTTAATAAAAAAAGAAACAATACAGATCCTGATACTTTGCTCAATGCCATGTTAAAAAATATCATACAAGTTCCAAAAGTTGAAATGCGCAGTGAACTGTCACAGCAGGCAGTTCCTCCTTAATTCTAAGGTAATTTGTAAGACAGGATGATTAGTTAGAACAAGCACTAACAGCCACAGTTACAAATAATTAGACACTATATGTAACTAGAGCATACCCATAACTTATCAAGAAGTTCAGTAACGCATTCAGTAAAAATAAATACTGGAATTAGTTTAGTTAAAAATAAGACTCCTTGCATCAAATCCAGGTTTTATTTTGTTTTTTAAAATGTTTAAATAGTAGAAGGAGAAAATGAAAAATGTTGGAATAAGAAAATGCTGAATTGTTAATTGCAAGCAAAACACACATTACTTAGTGGAATCTTTTTATGTTTTGCATTTTATTTTATATTTCAAATTATTTTCCATTGTGGAAAGAAACATGCCTTCATTAATCTTGCTACCATCTATTTAAACATTAATTTTGCTTTGGCTATAAAGAATATAATTCTCATAAGCAAAAACTGTAACTTCATTTTATTCTACCCTGCTCTCCCAGATAAATGTGTGAATATGTTCACCTTCAAAGTTTTAAAAGCCCATGGTTTACTCCTACAAGTGTTAAAATAATATATTAAATTGAACACACCTGTTCTATACCCCATTCAATATGCACGTGCACTTCTCGCAGATGAATTTACTATCTTAACTAAAAGCAATTGTTAGTTACAGACCATGTTGGGTAAAAGTTCATCATGCCCGAGGGGAACTAATCTGGCATTCTTGAAAAATGGCAGCCCGATTTTCAGAGCATCATCTGCCCCCAGTAAAGTCAGCACCTCTTAAATTAGACTTAACTACAGTAACCAGATCCATTTCCCACTATACAGGCAAGCTCACTTGGCTACTAGGATTGTCTACTATGATCTTTTGACAATGTACTGTTGACTGCAATGTCTATAATTAAGGTTGTCTAACACTTTCTGTTATAAACCACATTTTGTAATGTTTAAAATGTTGCTAAACTTTTAATATGGAGTCTCAGGTTGAGTTAATGGGGGGAAGTTTTACAAAAATATTTCAGCTGTTTTTATGAATGAAATTGGGGGGATATATATACACACACACAGACTTTTGCTTATGTTAAAATTTGTATGCCGATTTCGCTATAGACAAAGTACCTTTTCATATAATAAGGAGGGACTGCATTTGTCAGGAATATGCCTTTTACTGTTCCTATCAAAAGCCTCACCTAAACTTGGCTCTGAAATCTCAGCTATTCAAAACTTGTTACTGGCTTGGCAACCACCTTCTCTGAAAGTACGTACTAGATGGAACAATGATTAGTCCAAATCTATAGGAGAGGAGTATAAGCCTAACTGGAATACAAAGATGAGTATACAGATCAGACCAACTCATTACTCATTGAATAAGAACGGCCAGTAGAAAAAAAAATGTCATATGATCATGTAGTTAAAGACTATAATACTGCACATGTTCAAGGAGTGGGAACAGAGTGTATTAAAAATTCTGTAAGCAAGCTTAATTTTGCTTTCCCTGACTTTTTTTAAAAAGAGTGCTCAACTTAGTAGCCTTAACATTTTTTCATGTTTTTTTGCATATATGTAACTTGGTATACCACTGAAATACAAATAAAGGATTTTGGTAGCATACTCTACAGAACTGTTTTGTATTTCCAGAGAGATTTTAATTATATTTAGGAACAATGACAGTTACTTGAAGGCCGGATGGTATCTCCTCTGTTCTGTGCAATGCTTAGAAAAATGGCAGAACTCAAAAAACACTCCTGCAAAACCCCCACCCAGCATTGTTTCAGTGAAAGATTATTGTTTGAATGCACTAGAATCTGTGTAAGCCTGAATAGGAGAACTATTCTATTTACTCTTGAGACCAAGACAAGGTTTTTTTTTACCCTCGCTGAACATGGGATGGGGGGGAGGGGAAAGGACCCCTCAACTTGGATTGGAGTACAAAGTGAGGGCGGAGGGACACAACAGGCAGCTGCTGTGGCTCAGGGACTGGGGTTAGAACAGCAGCAGCTGCCTGTCTCCCACCACCTCCTGACCCCCTGCCACTGCTTTCCCTGCCTCAGTGGCGGGGGGGGGGGGGGGG